ATTGGTTTTGTTTGGGATTCAGACAGTTCGGTAGCCGCACTTCGTATGGTTATGCAATGTCACAAATTGAAGTTAATAACAATGGGGACGAAGCAGAGAACCACAGAGACTTCCACCTGTTTCTACAGAAAACTAATTTAAATTAATTTGGACAAAATGGGAAAGTACGGAGCAGAAAAATGCACTCTTCTTCTGGGAATAACTTAGTGGCAATCCACCAGTTTCATACATTTGTCTTTTAATGAGGCACCTCAGAGAGAAAACCCTCCAGGGACTGCACGGACGTTGATTCCATGAAGCTAATGGTTGGGAAATTCAAGTCAGATAAAAGGAGGGAATTCTTCAGACAGCATGTGGTTAAACTATGGGGTTCAGCCTCACAAGGTGTTATGATGGCTTTAAATGGGGGTGAGACATATTCGTGGGGCGGGGGAAGCCTATTAATCCAGATGGGTGTTTGCCATTGATAGCTTGATTCTCCAGAGACAGCTGGAGCAGCTTGCACTACCGTGAATCGTTGCCAGTGGGGGCTAATGAGCTGGAACTGGGGACCCAGTTGTGAAAATCCATCCGTTTTTCATGCACACCTCAAGACAGACCCCTCATGAATCTCCACCAGCTTGGACAGCTTTCAAAGGGAACTGGACAAATTTGTGGAGAAGGTTGTCAATGGCTCCTGGTCCGATGGCCATGTGCCAGCTCCTGTTTTGGAGGTGGTATGTCTACATACACCAATTGATGGGGATTATGGGTAGGAGGCTGGTGTCGTGCTCATGTTCTGCCTGTGTGTGGCTGCTATGGAGCGGAAGACTGGCTTGGACAGGCATGGTCTGATCTGGGGTGGTTCTCATGTTCCTTGCTATTCTAGCGATCCAACAGCTATACAAGAGCTTTCTCTTCCCGTTCTCAGCCTGCTCTAAACAACTGACAAAAGTATTTCGAGTTTCCTTCTGAAATAATGTTATTTTCTAGGTCAGATACCTAATTCTTCAAAAGGTAGATAGTGGTGAACCCCATCTTTGTTCATCCCCCACGTATTCTAATTTCAGAAAGACGAAAGGAAAAACATAACTCCTTTGAAAACCGCTTTTAACCTAGACTGGTCTTGTTTATAATGCAACACTGAACTATTTGACCACGTGACTGGAGTTTCCAGCATGGCAATTTCTCCGAAATATAAGTAAGCGGGGAGCAAAAAGTGCTGATTCTCGCACAGTGGGACATGGTTATCTTGGCCGGCAAGAGGGAATAATAACAATGGGGTCATCTGAACCTGTAATAATAGCAATCACAGCAGAACTCAAGGGGCTTTTGTGCTCTATAGATCTTGTTTTTATCAGCCGAAGTCTCAAATGCTGTTCCTTTTCTTCTGTTTGCATCTGAAAATGACATTTTTATTGTCGGAAGATGACTCATTAACCATTGTGTTTTCTCCTCTGTGTGTGTGTGTGTGTGTGTGTGTGTGTGTACATACACTGGTACATTTTCCATTTCTCTGAGTGGAGAGAAGTCCCAGAAGCTGTCCTATTCAGGCTTTGGGGGGTGTTTGCATGAGAAAGCATCAGAGAGGTAAAGCATGTTCCCCATATTTGGCTCATTTAGAAATGACGGGCATTCTGTCTTTGAAGAGGAGCTGGATGAAGGATCTTTGTGCCCACAGAGATGCAGAAGAGATGAAGGTCTGGCTTCGCACTGTCAGTCTCCCACCCCTGCCCCATTCCTGGCTACCTGCTGAGTCTGCCCGTCTTCCTCTGATGAACACCCCGGTGATAATGACCCCAGGCGACCAAAACAACCACTTCTGCAGCAACATTGGGCTTCCCACAAGGTCACTTGCCCCCACAGGGGCTGAAGGGAGGCAACTGGACAGCGAGGCAAGGGTCAGGATGTGGCCCAAATTGGTCAGGAGGCTCCCTAGTATGCCCATGCGGCCTGGTCCTTTGGGTCAGCTTGGGACTGTGTGGCAGCTTCTTCCAGGACATTCTCCACAGGGTCCCACACCCGTCCCTCAGAGGAGGCTTCCCAGGGTCCTGCCAAGTGGCCTCCTGATGGGAAAATGCAAGTACGGAGCAGAGGAAGGCAACCGGGCTTGCAATCAGTCAGGCACCTGATTTGCAAACCACACCCGCGAGCTCCTGTGGACCCCCAGAGGGTGGCGGGTGCCTGGGCAGCAGCAGGAAGACCTGGCAGCACCGCTGGGGCGAGGATGGGCCTTCCATATGAGGGCCATGCGATGAGAGAGGGGGGGAGCAGCAAGGGGCAGCTCGCAGGCATGTGAAGGGGTACAGGTGCACAATTTATTACCGTTGAGTATCCTTTTCTACAAAAAGGGCTGCTTATGCCCAAGTAAATGCATTTCCCATCAAGGCAGCAGAAGTTGTTGTTGTTCATTTCTATACCACCCATAGCCAAAGCTCTTGGGGCACAATGCAATTGTGCTCGTAGTCCCACAGTCACACTGGTGCTTTGATTGGAGTCAATTTAAAACTTACTCCCCACCCCAAAAGATCATTATGACCACAATCCTGAGCATGTTCAGGCGCCTGAGAGCAGTAGGGGTTTTTGTGGGTAAACATGCACAGGATTGTACCTTATGCCCAGGGTCCAAATTTATCCAATTGCACCATACCAACAAGTAATGAATTCACTTGCAAGGCTGAATCAATCTAAGATGAACCAGGATGGACGAAACAGACCCTATTCCAAAACGGGCTGGACATGCATGCCTCCGATTAAGTGAAACACCCGGAATATGCGTACTACTGTTTGTTTTTGAACAGCTCAGAGCAAATTGTTCCCGTTTTAAATCACTGTCCCTCCAGTGTTATTGCTCGTAGTCTCGAGAGACAATCTCTTTTTCTTTTCTTCCTTTTTTTAAAGAAAAGGTCACCGTTCCATTGAAATCATGTTTGTTGAAAACAAAACTGTGATGCGGAGACAGATTAGCAAGATGTGAGGTCATGGCAGAGGTGGAATATTCAGTTTGAGAGGCTAATACTTAATGGCACTTTGCAGAAGGCGAATGTCTCATGGAAAGGGCAATGCTGGCCCACAGAGAACCGCAGCACAATGCCGTAGAAAACGTAGAAAGCTGTTTTGATAGCACAGAACAAAAAGGCCACCGGATAAGTGCTGGTGCTGGATTGCTGCAGCGCCAGTCGGGGTTATGAGTCACTTTCCTCTTCCCCCAGCCACTTCCCACAACAGATTCGCCTCCTCCTTTACGAAGGAGTTCCCTTCTCAGACGAAGAAGGAGGGCTGCTCCGACTTGCTTTCCGTTAGCTGAGGCCAAGTGACCCAGTCAGAGAGAAGACAGGAGAAACAGCTGCTAAGGTTCTAGCCAGGGTCAGTCCTACGTAGAGTAGGCCCATTGAAGCCAATGGCACTTGAGTTACTCATGGCTCAGTCATGCCCAAATCATGTCAATGGGTCTACTTAAAGTAGCCCATGGGATGCCACTTGCAGTTTCCAGCTGGAACATCCCAGGCCTGTTGGGTTCAGATTAGCGTTTTCTGCACCATTAATATCACTCCATCCTCTTCCTCTTCATCACTGTGCATTTATATCCCAGCTTTTTCCTCTTGTGAGGAACCCAAGGCAGCTTACGACACTCCATTTTCTCCTCACAACAACCCTGTGAGGTAGGCTGCCCTAAGAGGGAGGGACTGGTCCAAAGCCACCCAGTGAGTTTCATGGCTGTGTGAATACTAGAACCCGGCTCTCCCCGGTCCCAGATCAGCATCCTTCTCACACTCCATATCTGTTGCTGGGAGTTACAGGTCTTTTTTCCCTTTGCTGTATAAACATCGTGAGGATCATGCCCTTCATTCGCAGCATGATGGGATTTCCACCCAGCCTCCTGATTTAAGTCAGACTGCCAAGGCAGACCCTCCTCCCACCTTCCCAGGTGATCGCACAGAGGTGGAGTCCAGGGCAGCGGCACATGGACAGAGATGCCCTGGCCCTGAGCAGCCAAAGCGCCGACTAGGTAAGGAGATGCCTGTAAACTGGCAGCTCAAAGGTGCTTGTTCAGCCGTGGTTTGGAGCAGAGCCACCCAAAGGTACAGCAGGGCAGGAACCCCCCAGCACCCACGGGCGTCTGTCCGTGGACAGCGAGCCGCTCTCTCACCTGGGGGGGGGGGCGCAGCAGGAAGAGAATGCAGAGCCTTGGCGAACAGGACCTGCCAGTCAAGTGCTGTAGGGCAGGGGTGGGAAGAGGGCAGCCCTCCCGCGAGTCAAGCCCCCGTGAGCCTTGCCAAGTTGTGCTCCAAAGCAGCTACTGTATGTCCCTGCTCTTGCTCAGGATGAGGGGCTTGCTTTTCCTGCCACGGAGGCGTGTGGCATGCCCACGACCTCGACATCTTCTTATTCTCTAGTTGGGCTCTCCACATCATGGGTGTGTTGGGTGTTTCGAAAGGCGCACGGTCACTTATAGCCATTCACACCGATTTTTACCAGTCCAAATAAATCACCATCCTGTCCTAAGAGCAGGTGTAAAGCGATTCTGCACATTTGCAGGTAGAGGTAGCGTGGCAATGTTTCTGCAGTTCAAAACGGAACCTTAGCAAAGGCTCAGCATACACAAGCATGTCTCAACATGGTGCCCACCGTGGCCAATGGCCAGAAATGCCAGAAGCCATACTCCAATTCATCAGGAGGTTACAATATCGAGGAAGGCGGATGGAAACAATGCAGAGCGCAGAGGAACACTGGTCCCCCATCCAGAATCACCTTGACATTGTGTGAGTTCAAAAACGCCACCAGAGAGGTGCCTTTTCCCTCTGCATTTATGGGGAGCCCTCAGAGCACCTCATTACCAGCACCAGCAGAATCGGCCCCACAGCTGAGCACCACCAGGGGTTTGGTGTGTGGCAGCCATGCATGCGGCTTCCTGGGGCCGAGGATCCGCCTGCCCAAGATGAGGAAACGCCAGTGCAACGCGCAGGATTCAAAGCCTTTATTCCACATTCTGGAGCCCAGAAAGGCTCGAGAGAAGCAGCTTAGAAGTAATTGATGATTCTTCTCAATGACTGGACGTTTGCCCCCGGAGCCTGCCACTCATCGCAGCAACCGTAATCGCCTCGCTCGACCACGTACATCGGACCACGGTAATTGGGCTCCTCAAACAACACCCATCTGAAACAGAAACGCAACGGTGGTTTGTAGCCAACAATGCCAAGTGATATTCCCAGTTGTGTATGACACCAGCGTAGTCTCCTTCCTGCAAGGGGCTGGAATGTCCAGCAGGGACTTCTGGTAGCCTTTCTGAGGGGCTGCTGTGGGAAGGAGGGGAGCAGGGACATGCGCTTCATCGGCGCTGTTGAACCGGCATAAAGAGTGATCCAGCCTGTAGATGTTGCATTTTGTGGGTGTGTGGCCCCCTGAATACAGCCCTTAAATTGGACCCCTGGAAGGGACCTGTTGGTCATGACTAACAAGTCCCATTCCTGTAAATGGGTCTATCCTCAGGAGGACCTGTGTGGAATTTTACTCATTCTCCAAAGAGTCACCTTCCACTGCACCCACATATACCTGCCCACTGTGAAACTCCTGTTTCTGATAAAGCGAACTATCATCCGTGAACCCCATTGCCAGAGTGAACGCGCTCTACTCTGCAAGGCTCTTTGCTGCTTTCACCGGGTGGTTCTGAGGGCATTTCAAATGCTTTGAACCTCCAGGGTCTCAGGTGGAAGCCGCCCGATTCAAGCAGCAGCGACGACTGGGTTCGGCTCAGTGTGCATTTGGCGCGTTCTGCGTCAAAGCACGTGTTCTACCTCCAAGCCTCGTCCTGCCTCGTTTTTTAAAAAACCCAACAACGACCCTCTGCTTTTAATTAAATCTACATCATGGCTTTTTGCTAATTCATCAGAAGAGAGGGATCCTCCCTAGCCACAGACGGGTGCTTGGCAGGCATTCTTGACCTCTCGTCCAGAGTGCCTAGAAGTTTCGCCTTTTGCACTCCTTGGAGAAATGCTGCCTTGGCACAGAAGCAGGATGTCCGAGGCTGTGCTCCAGCTGTGCCTTCCACAAGCCAAGCACGCCCTGGCTCCAGCGGAGCTCCCTGCCCCACTCCTCGCTGCCCCGCTCGGTCTCAGGCCCACTCTCCCCACGCATGCCTCGTTCCTCCACAGGCAGTGCATGGTACGAGGAAACCAGCGACTCGCCCATGACATCATCGGCTCTGCAACTCCATCCATTGTACAAACAGAAAAGCACAAGAGATACAAATGCTGAGAACATTCATTTCAGGTCAAAGGGATGATGGAAGGGCAGCCCTGCGTGAGCCTCCATTGTCAAGCGAGAGATTTCAGGGAGAGAAGGGGCTGGAACGAAGCTCCTTCATCTGCGCACGTGGACACAAAGCAAGAACGCAACGTTGCAGGAGGAGGCGTTAAAAAAGCGACCCTTATTCAGCCGACTGCATCCTGCCACATGCCCTGCTGAGTTTTGCCTCGCATGAGCCAGGCTAACAATAAGCCACCTCCCCAGTCCTGTATGGCCACGGGGACTGCAGGAGGCTGCCAGCCTGTGCTGGCTGAGTGGTGTTGGGGAATGAAGTCGTAACATCTCTCAACCAGCTGGGACAGGCTGGTTTAAGGCACCCGTTGCTCCCAGTCCGGATGCCTGGGTTCAGACAGTGCAGTAAGTCATCCAAGGGCTCAGTATGGCTTAATGAACAGCCTAAACCCAGCCAGAAGCAGACACCATGATGAACAAACCACAACTCATAGCAACTATGGGCTGTTTGTGGTTAACAACCATGGCTTATTACCACAGCTGGGTTCTGAAAACACAATAACCTACAGTTCAGTCACAACTCACAGTTCCAGGACAACTCGCACCCAACCTCTGAGTGTTGTCAGAACTCAGTCCTTGGCTCCATCGGCAGCTGTTGCCAGGCCGGCTGGTTGTGCCTGCTGGAGAGAGCGAAGCACAGCCCAAGCACAGCGTCCCGCTGGCGCCTGCCCTCCCAGGGCTATGACCCCGGAGGCCACTCCAGGGCGCCGTGTGTGCGATACGCCCATGGAGAGCTCCTGCCTGAGCCTGCATCCAGAGCTAGTCAAAAGGTGCACACACACAGAGGGCTACCCACACTGGTGCACAAAATATTGACGGGAAAACCTTCAAAGGATGAGAGACAAAACAGATTCCACCGCGGACTGAGCCTGCTGAGGGGGTTTAAGGAAAGACCGGTGGGGGTGGCCACCTGGGGCCTGCAGATACCAGCTGCCTCCACCGAGAGGAGAAGGAGCCCATCTCACACGTGCTCTGGGGCCCTTGCGGTCGACTGGCAAAGATTCCCATCACTTGTGCCCGAGCTTCTCGGCAGCCCCCGTAAGGCCTCACTGCTTCAGTCACAGCTGTGCTCAGCCCGTTGCGTGCAAGCCGGGCTTGAAATAACACAGCGCCCTGTGTGAGCCTCTCTGCCTTCGCCCCCAAGCCATGCAGTCTGGCTTTTGCTGAAAACAGGGTGAAAAAATGATTTATTCATGACTGGGGCAAAAAGGCACGGATTCCTCTCGTGCCTGTGCCAGGCCCTCCCTCTCTTTCTGGGAGGCCGCACTCCAGCACCTGCACAGAGGAAAGGACTCGCATTTCCTTCCCCAGGAGGGGACATCCACTGTGTGGCCCCATCCCCTGCCCAGGGGACATTCCTGGAAGAACCAGCTGTTTCAGTCTGGCTGGAGCAAGCCCAGCCTTGGCCAGACAAGAGTTTTGGAAGAGTCCTCTTTGTTTGGCCCCTGGGCAGTTTGCCAGTCCATCGGTTTCCGAAGCGGGGCCCTGGGCCTCGAGATGCCTCCGCCAGAGCACGTGCACCTTAACGCCGGCACCCAGCACCCGCCACGCAGCAATCCGTCTCTCTCCTGTTTTTAGTGGAGAGCCTCAATTGCTGGTACCACAGAGGAGTCTTCTCTTTAGTCCTGAAAATGGAAGTTGGAGTTCGTATGGTCTGGCTGAGCAGACTGCTCCAGGATGAGGAAATCATGGGGAGAGAACAGAATGGAGTGGGGTATGGAACAGGGCATGGCAGGCTAGAATTCTGAATAGAAGCCCCTCACACACACACACTGCAACATTTTGTTGCAGATCCCACTGGTAAGACCAGGCATGGAACTTTCAAAACTGAGCTCTGCATGTCCACGAGTTCCCATCTTCCCTTCCCTTTTCTGTTGCAGGGACAGGGCAGGGACTGCCTTGTTTTTTAACCTCTCTAGAAAAAATAGGCACTGCATAATAAAAAATAAGAATAACAATCATCTGTTCAGCTGACCCAAAGACATGCATCTCTCACCCCACCCTATAATCCTTTCCTGTTTGAATAATAGGATGCTCCGAGGTGCCTCGAAGCACTTTCTGCTAAAGGTGGGATGGAACTTCAATAAATAACCAGTCCCCGTGTTCTCTGTTGCTTGGATTGCTGGAGGCTGTGTCTTTTGATTTCGTTAATTAATGCATTTACAACATTTGAAGGCCCCTCCATAACAGAAGGTTCCCTGGGCAATCTCCTTATTCATATTTGGTTGAGCAATTCGAGTTCCTGCCCTCCTGAAAGAGGGGAAGGGTTGTTCTGCTTCCCTGGAAGCTGCAGTGCGGACTGGCCTGTTGAAGAGGATGCTGACCGGTTTCTGCTTCATACATTCGAGAGAAGGACAGGAGCCCGTGAAAGCCACAGAGAGCGAGCGAGCCGCCTGTGGAGGCCGGAGGGGAGGGAATGGCTGTGCTACTTACGCGCCGTCCCCGTAGACTCTCATGGAGTTAACCCAGCGCTTGGGGCAGCCGCGAGTATTCAGGAAAGCACAGTCCTCCGTGAATTCCTGACTCCGACCACTAAAATGCCTCCCCTCGAACACTTCAATGCGGTAATGTTCTCCATGCTGTTAACAAGAAGCCCCAATTAGATTTAACGGAACCAAACAATGCACATCACTTTTGCCAACGCAAGAGAGAAAGGAATCCTGTGGTACAAAGTAGTGAAATGTGTTTATTGATCACATTTGCACGCCTGACTTCTACCCCCAAAATGCCAGACTGTACAGGAGTTATACAGGCTATGCAAGTTATGTAGACATTATCCAGTTTTATCAGTGGGGCAACACTTTCTTCTGGACCCACCTACCCAGCTTTTCCCATATGAACCTGTCAAGCTCCCAAGTCCTGTGGGAGGGGCCCTTCATTAGGTCCCATGGCTTGGTGGCCACATCATGAATGGTTTTTGAGGCTCCAGGATGCCTTTCTTGGGGGGAAAGGTTCTTTTCTGGAAGAACAGATGGTTTTCTTCAAGTTGGCCTTTGGCATATAAGTGAGCTGGATATTGAGATCCCTGCCTCCCTGCCCGCTTTCAGAGGCTCCACAACTGGCCACGAACGGAGGTAAACAGAACTTTTAATCAGGGATAGCACCTGAAAGCGAGGCCTTCTCCCACTCCCAGGCGCTATATAAACATGTCAGTGCAGTGCAGGGCTTAGTTGTCTTCCTCATCCAAGTGCCTTCCAGGGATTTTGCAAGTACAGTTGCCATCATTTCTGACCACAGGCTGTGCTGGCTGGGACTCATAGGCTTTGGTCCAAGACATCTGGAGGACAGCGGGACAGAAGGGCTGGGTCAGCGTGTCAGGCTGGAGCAGCGGAGGCATGGGTGCAAATCTGTGCTCAGCCATGACGCTCACTGGGGAACCTTGGCCCCGCCGTGCCCTCCTCTAACCTGCCTCGCAGGCTTGTTGTGAGGACCCAGTGGGGCAGAACCACATGCCCGACTCTGCACTACTCGGAGAAAAGGCAGGAAACGAGAGACTCGCCCACACAATTGGCTGCTGTCCACCAGGGATGCTGGGTTCACAGTTCCCTCAGCCAGGACTCACTGAACGGCCCCCAGACAGCGAAGGGGAACATGTAGTCCTTCAAATGTTGCTGCACGGCAAGGCCCATTAGCCTTAGCCAGCATAGTCAATGGTGAGGAATAATGGGAGTTGCAGTCCAATAGCATCTAGGGGGCCACCCAAGAAGAACCAGATCTACATGTTTTCACCTGCCCCCCACAGTCTGCAAAATGGGCATAATGACTATGGTCTTCCGGGCAGGTGAGGGGAAAGAGGCCTGTGAGCTTCTCTGTGTGAGGCACCTGCTGCACAGTCGTCACAAGAACTGCCTTGTGCAGAGGCTGTCACAGCCCTCCAGTTTCACTCCTGTTCGCAATCAGCTCTTTCAGTGACTTGTTTTAGAATGCAGGGGGATGCAGCATTTAATTGTACAAGCGAAAGAAACTCGTTTTCCTTGCCTGTGTTTGCACTACTTTGCCAAACCACAGTGCCATCTAGAGGTTATGGCACAGAAAAGCAGGAAAGGAAATGCTCTTTGTGCAGTGCCCAGATCTTAATTCTGTGCTAAATCCAAGAGAAGATGCAGTGGATGACCCCCTGGGGTGGAAAACTCTTGTGACTGCACACTGCAAGTTAATGGGATGTTTGTGGCAGCTTTCCCCCACCTGAGGCACCCGAGAGGCACTGGATCACCGTGTGCAATGCACACTCAGCATTCCCACTTCAGTGGGATGGGGAATGGATGGAGACGAAGGCCACACTGTGGTCAATGCCCAGTGTGAAGGCACCACGGACTGGCCTTTCTCCCGCGACCCCTCGGCAGGAGCCCACGGCACCCGATGGCCGCAGGCAAAGCCAGAGCAAGACCACAGGGGCCACCTCTGACATCTGCAGATGGTCCAGCCATCCAGACATGGGGAATTAATTAAGGGCCCCACGAGGGAATGAAGCATTACGAAGACCTTCCAAGATACACAAACCTTCAAACCCAAAATCACATTTTCCTTTAGTTTTCAGTCAAGTCTGTGGTTATTTACACAGGGAAATGTTGTGACTTTATTTAATAATGGGGGGGAGAGCCCCTCCCTTTCCCCCTTTTTGGGTTTCTGGCAGCTTGGATACACAATCTCAGAGGGTGAACTGAGGTAAACTTTTAGAATACCCTCCCGCCTAACTTTTGTTTTGCGTGGAGTTTGCCGACAGGTATTCTTTCTCCTTCTTTAAAACCCCATAAGCTACAGGACAGTTGATATATTTATAAATGGAATTATACATGAGAAAACTTGGCTGAAGTACCAGAGAACTTGCGGCATTCTTTTGCCTGTGGAATCTCAGATATGCCTGAAACAGCTGCCGGTGGTAAAAGAAAGAAAGAAAGAAAGAAAGAAAGAAAGAAAGAAAGAAAGAAAGAACCATGTGCATATGTGTATAGACAACAGCCTTTCCCAACCAGGTGCCCTCCAGATGTTCTGGGTTCTAACTTCCATCAACCCTAGCTAGATGGTCAGGAACGCTGGGAATTGTAATCCAAGGGCAGCATCCAGCTGCTTCATTCCCCCAGTGCCAACGACGCTGCGCTAGCAGAACCTATGTTCCAAACTTTACGCAAGAGCCGATCCAACTGAAGTGGCCGTTGTGCAAATGCAGCTGCAGGCACACAACGGGAAAGCCATTGAGCAACTTGTGATGCAACGTGATGGACTTGTGCAACCAAGCGTTCCACTTATGCAATTGGTCGCACAAGCATAACACACAATCAGCTTGCAGAATGGACAGATTTAGTGGAGCTCTGTTAAAATGACACCATTGGATGGAGTCCCATAAGATTTTGAAAGCACCAGATTGGGGAAGCACCAGATTGTGTGCATGCACGCGCGCGCGCGCACACACACACACACACACAGAGAAAGAAGGTGATTGAGAATGAGAGAGAGAGAGAATGAGAAAGAGACTGCACAGTTAGTCTTGAATGAGAGAGGGAGTTCCTCTTTGAAATGACTCTGTTGTAAAAGAGGTGAAAATACTTAAAGCACCCGTTCTTGTGGCATACACATGCAATATTCTTACAAATATTTACATACTACATATCTACGGATAAAAAACCAGAGTGGCTTACAAAAAAGGGAAAATAGAGCAATGCAGTCCTAGGCATTTCTCTTCAGAAGACAGCTCCATGGGCTTCAATGGGCTGAATTTCCAGGTAATTGTGCAGGATTGCACTGTCAGTGTGTCTTCCTATATAGTTTGCTATCTGGGAGCAAATCCCATAGAAAACATGATTTATGACTCAGTACTCATGTGTAGGATTCAGCTGGAAAGAACATACGGTATTAAAACCACAGACTTACACACACACACGCACACACACACAGCCACCAGCTGTGAAAAGCATAAATTGAGCTGCTTTTAAAAGCAGCAGGAACTATGCACGAAAATCCTGCTTGAAATACCCCCCTCTTGATGTGGTGAGGGGCTCTGAGTGTCAGAGAAGCCGAGAGCAAACCTGCCAGGAGACCAGGGTCTCTCACCAGGATGGTCCCCCGCAGGTCACCCAAGGTGGGCAAAGCAGAGACACCAGATCAGCTAAGTTGCCTTCACCCTCTTCAGCAGCAGAAGAGACTGGAAGTGCCCAACAGTGATGGGAGCGAGGAACTCCTGAGGGGCAGCTGCTGGGTGGCAGTGGCAGCTGAAGGTGATATTGGTGTTGGATCTTTCACAGACAACAGCAGTAATGCTCAAGCTAACTCTGGTTAATATTGCACAGAAGAAAGCAATGGAAGATCACTTCTGAATCTTCTTGACCTGAAAACTCCATGATGGAACAACCCAGAATTAGAAAGGAGATCGTGCCAGAAGATGAGATGCCCCCAGGTTGGAGGGCCTTCAGTGAGCTACTGGGGAAGAGCAGATAGCACTGTTGCTGATGATGCAACCAGATCAAAGCAGAAAGGAAGTGCTGACATGCATGGAGGTGAAAGGAAAATCCAATGCTGCACAGCACATACAATTGCAACAAGAAAAGTGAGAAATAAAAGTCAAGGCAAACTGCACATTGTAAAGTGGTTCTTGAAGTGGGCTGGATGGGGTCACTGGGGTGGTGGGTGTGGGCTTGGGTGGACTCCAAGGGATGCTGGAGGACAGGAGAGCCTGGAAGAGTGTTGTCTGTGGGGTCGTGAAGGGTTGGGCACAACTTTGCGACTAACAACAACAACTTGACGTGGCCTGGAACGGGACATTTTCAGTGAGACAAATACAAAGTGTTGTACCCTGAAACCAACAAACTCAGCAGAATAGGAGTGGTTCTAATATGAGTCAAGCTGTAGCACAAGGCTGTAAGGCAAATCCGATTGAATCATGTAAATCAGAATTGTCGGGAAAACCTATCAACATAACCATCATTCAGGACTAGGCGCCAATGATACTGAAGAAGAAGTTGAAAACTATTATACAAGCATGCAAGAGGAAAGTGATAATGCACAAACACCAAGACATGCTGATAATCATATTTGAATCAGATGCAAAAGAATGGAACAAAGCAAAACTGAATGTTGTTGGAGAATTTGGCCTTGGGGTATGAAACGAGACAGGAAAATCTCTCATAGAATTCTGTGATACCAACCGTATGTTTTTTGCAAATATATATTTCAAGCAATCGATCAGATGACTGTACAGCTAGATATCATCAGATAGCCAATGTCAAGGTCAAATAAACTACATAATTGGAAGGGAAAGACCAAGAAACTATATTTTCACTGCCAAAATAAGCCTGGCAGCAGATTGTGGAGGTGACTATGAACTTTTAATATAAAAAAACAGACTAAAGCTGAAAAAGATCAGCAGAAGCACAGTGCCAAAATACAACTTAAATAGCATTTCTGAGTAAATTAAGGTACACATAAAGAACAGACTAGCTTTGCTGAACTCAACTGACCATAAACAGGAAGAACTGTGGACTAAAAACAGAGACAATCTTAGAGATGAATGCAAAAATACCATTCCTGTAGCAAAAAGAAAGAAAAATCCTAGATGGATGACAGAAGAAATGATCACAGTTGCAGTGTAAGAAGCAAAAGCAAAAGCTGACAGAAATAGGGACAGGATCCTGGATGTAACTTTGCATGAATTATCATGTAGAGATAAAAAGAACTATGATAATTGCCAGTACAAAGAAATAGAAAAGAACAACAAAATTGGAAAAACAAAAGACCTCTTCCAGAGAGACAAGAAATCAAAAGGAAATTCAGTCTTAGGCTAGGAATGCTGAAAGACCAACAGGGGAACACTATCATCAGATCAGAAGACAAAGAGAAGTAGAAACAATATTTGAAAGAACTATACAAAAGAGAATAAAGGATGACAGGTTCCTTTGATGAGAAATCCTACGAGGTAGAATCTGCGATATTAGAAAGTGAAGCGAAAGCTGCTCTGAAGGCACTTGGAAGGAATAAAGCAATCCGAGGAGAAAGGGAACCAAAACAACCGCAGAGATTGAAATCCAAATCCTAATGAGAATATGCCGACAAATATGGAAAACAAAACAGTGGCCCACAGAAATGTCCAATACACACTCCAATAACCAGGGAAGGAGATGCTGAGGGATGCACCAAACATAGGACCCCGGCATTCAGTTCCCATGCAACCAAAATTATGCTCAGGGTGTTGCAACAGACTTTTCCCTTATAAGGAGCGACAAATGCTGGATTCCGAAAAGGAAGACGCACTCCGGATTACATTGGGAAGGATGATTGCTTTACTGGAGGGCACCAAAGAATTTTAGAAGAAGATCGGTCTTTGCTTCACAGACTACGGCAAAGCTGTGTGGACCGCAAAAAGCTCTGGATGGTCCTGAAAGAAATGAGTGCGGCTCATCCTGTGATTGTCCTGATGAAGAACCTGCATCACGGACAAGAAGCTGCTGTTAGGACAGAACGTGGAGGGACAGAACGGTTTCCTATGGGCAAAGTGTCGGGCTGGTGTGCATCTTATCTCCCTGTGTCCTCAGTCTGTACCATAAGGAGAACTGGATTAAGATCAGGCGAAGGAAGTGTGAAAATTGCTGGAAGACACATCAATAATTGAAGATATGCAGATGATACCATGCTACTGGCAGAAAGAAGCAATGACTTGAAGCGACACCGGATGAAAGCGCAAACCCTGAACTGCAGCTGAACATGAAGGGGAACATCATGACTAGGGGAGAATTACACAACTTTAATAACAGTGAGGATATTGGAATTGTGAAAGAATTTGTATACCTTGGCTCAGTCATCAATTCAAAGGGAGAGTGCAGCCAAGACATTCGAGGAAGAGTGATACTAGGAAGAGCAGTAACGGAGTAACGAGAAAGGATCATCACATGCAGAGCTCTTTGCTGGAGACCAAAGCCAAGGTCATCCACACCGCTGCACTGACTCAACACGGCTGACAGCCATTGGTGAGCTCATGGCTTCAGTGAAGTTTGATCACCTATAACAATGGTGAGGAACCTGCGACCCTCCAAAGGTTTGCTTGCTTACAGCTCCCATCAGCCACCATCCAGCTTGGCCAACGGCCAGGTTATTAGTTATTTATTTAAAGTTTTTATATGCCGTCCCCATTGCTACATAGCCTCGGGATGGCTCACATCAACAAATAAATAAAACAATACAATTACAACTTGGAAACACACTGGCTGCACAATTAAAACTATAAATACTAAAGTTTATTAAAATACTCTTTGAATAAAAAGGTCTTGGCCTGGGGCTGAAAAACAAATAGCGACGGTGCCAGGCAGACCTCTCTGGGGAGCGCATTCCACAGATGGGGCGCCACCGCAGAGAAGGCCCTCCTCCGGGCACTTTGCTTCCTGATGCCTCTCCTGGAGGAGAGCCCCTGCTGCCGATCTCAAGGGGCGGGGGGGCAAACATGGCCAGCAGCCCAGAGTTTGACGGACCAGTGGTTCCCCACTTCTGCCTTAAAAGGAGGTTAGGGCAGCCCATAAGGTATGATTCTGCAATTCTAGCACTGGCAAAGCTGAGTCAGCCTTGCAGGTCAAGGAGGGGATGCCCATTTCACAGACAGAAATGGGGACACTTTGGGGCAGTCCTGAGAACCCTGCTCCCAGACTGGGGGCCAGTCCAAGCACCCGACCCCTGCCATATTACTCTCCACTCCCCTCCACCCGCTGCATCCCCGAACTTTGCAAGCGCCTGTCCAGAAGGGATCTCTGAAGCAGAGTTAAGCTGCCGGTCACATGCATGCTGGGGATCAGCTTCCTAGGAGGCAGACGCAGCAAGCCCCCTGAGCAGACATGTAGGAGTGGTCTACTTCATGGCACTTTACAAAACGCTACAAATGTACAATAATCGCGCCATGGAATGTGCCCCACGCCGAGCGGCTGCGCTGACAGTCAAGGCAGGCATTTGCGAAGCAAAGGGGAGGCAGAGGAGCCGGCAGCAGCGTCCGGTACCCTTGTGCCTGCCCCATGTGCAAGCGTGGGGCAGGCAAAAGGCCTCCCTAGGATGTCCATCCCAGAGCCGCCTTCCCCCCGCCGGTGCCCTCAGCTGGGCTGGACTGCAGCTGCCTTAATTCCCTCGAGGGAGTGAAGCCCTGGAGCCAGGAGACACGGAGGCGTGCCCAAGAGGCGTGCGCCAGGGCTGCTTGTGGCGCTCTTGGCACTTCCCCGCATGGCAACGTGGGGAGACACGAAGGCCATCCTCACCCGGCGAGGCAGCCTGCACAGCCGCCAGCAAAAGGGAGCACTAACCATTCCAATGGGCTTGCAGGACCCCATCCGGTCGCTGTGCGCGTTCCAGAGGAAGAATCCAGGATACTCGCCCCGCTCCAGGACGTACTGCTGGCCGCGGAAGTCCACGTGACTGAAGCAGACCCAGGCTCCGCTCTGCACACAGATGGAATTGACTCGGTTCAGGAAGCCCCAGTCCTGGAAGTTATCGCAGAGACCGCTCAGCTGCAGCTTCCTGCCTGTGAAGCATTTGCCCTCGTAGAAGACAATCTGGAACGAAGAGAACCTTGCGCTGAGCAATGGATGCCCACCACGCCGGAGTCCCTGCCCAGTCCCGTGGCATCCAGCGCCACGTGCAGCAGGTTTCCATTTGTGCCCCACGAGAGGAGCAGTGGAAGTGGGAAGAGGACCCTTGGCGAGATATTGCAGCTTGGTCCCAGCGAGCAGCACTGCAAACACCCCTCGGGCGTTCGCAACTGTGTGTTTAGATTGATTAGGAAACACTCCATCGTCGTATTTCCCAATCCCTTCTCTTGAGTTGCCAGATTCTTGCACTTTAAGGAAATGTCCCATTATTCCAGACCACCCCGGCTGTGTGACCCCACCCTGTGAGACAACGCAAGCTCACAGTAAACCATGCTCTCCCCCGCTGGCATACAGAGGTTTCATTTTCCATCATGCAACCTCATCTTTCAAAAGAACATCTGAGCTAGAATATCAGTGAAGTTACAAATAATAATGAAGACGTTACTTACCTTTCCCGAATATTGGGGCATGTTTGGCTGGCTAAAGCTGAAGCTGACTCCCAAGTGGGCTTTGCAGAACCCTTTGCTGGACGTTCTGCTATATATCGCAAATGGGGAGCCCAGGTCAGGGTTGTCAGGCCTGCCAAACAATACACGCCAGGAACGATTCATGCTTAGCTGGCAAGAACTGCATGCCGCTCAGTCTCTGCTGATACGGGAGTTTTAATTTAATCCAGACACTTTAACAAAAGAATCACTGGATGGGGAATTGAGCAATGAGTGCTGTACATAGATGGCTCCCTTTCGATAAGCTACATTTAAAAGAGGTGGTAAGAAAGTTCTTGGAATGTCCTGCTTTTCATCTGTTTTTCCCATGTCATATCACACATTTTCCGTCCAAGGCCCTCTTTCTGAAGTTTGCAATGAAGCATCCCAGATGATACCTTTGATTTTAGACAGCTTTATACATTCTGAGGTAGCCTTTCCCGATTTGCTGCCCTCTGGAACTGCCGGATGGAAAGGCCCATCATCCCCAACCCACATAGCCAAGGATGCTGCCTAGAAATGATGGAAGCTGCTGTCCAGCCCACTGGTCACCAAACTGAGAAATGTTGCCTTAGAACATCTACCGTCGATTTGCATCAAGTCAGGTCATGGGTCTGTCTACCTCAGGACTGACTCCTCAGACTGATGTACTGCAGGACTTCTGGTGGAATCCCATCCTGTATCTGCTGTCTGAGATACTGCGAACTTGACCCATGACTTCATGTGAGACATATTATCCTGAAGTCCTTCCTCAGAGGACTGGTGCCACCCGATCCAGCTTAAGTGGAGGCACCAAGGCTACATACACGCACGGTCTGTGGGAACCCAAATTTGCCCTCAGAGACTACTTGGCTGCACAAGATCATCCTATCGGTCTGGCCACATGGGAAAAAACCTGCAGGACAAAGAATCTATGAGTTGCAGAATTTTAACAGAAGTTGTTTGACCTTTCAAACCTCTTTTTCTATGGGGTGTGTTCAAAACACGGCTGCTACAACCAGACCTCAAAACATCAGAAGAAAGCCTATGTTGTCAGCATTCTGTGGACAGCCAGTGGCCAACAGTTGCCCATGGGAAGTCCACCAGCAGGACATGAGCACAAGGACACCATCTTGCTATGTTCTGCCGTAACTGATAGTGAGTCCTTGTTGTTACGTCCTGACAAGTCAACTCCGACTTGTGGTGACCCTATGAATGAAAGCTCTCTTCCTATCCTGGACAGCCCTGCTCAGCTCTTCCAAATGCAAGGCTGTGACTTCCTTGATGGAGTCAATCCATCCCATGCTTGATCTTCCTCTTCTCCTTCCACCTTTGACTTTCCCTAGCAGGGTTGTCTTCTCGAGGGAGTCTTGCCTTCTCATGACACGCCCTCAGTTTTGTCATGTTTGTTTTTGGAGGGAAAGCTCCAGCTTGATTTGATCTAGAACCCACTAATCTGTCTTTCGGTTGGTCCAGGGTATTCACAAAGCTCTCCTCTAGTGCCATGTTTCAAGCACATCCATTTTCTTCCTCTCAGCTTTCTTCCCTATCCAACTTTCATGGACTGTGGAAGAAAGGTCACATCCAACAATGCCCTTGGTTTTCCTAGTTTTGATATTGTGGCAAAGATTCTACTGCCCAAGTCCCTGGTTAAAAAGGCGGAAAGGGGAAGAAATAGTTGTCCAGGGAAAATCAAAGTTACCGCTTCTACAAAGATAAAACAGCTACGACCCATGTGGAATTTCCCCTCTTCAGAAGTACTCCGTGGAGTTTACCGACAGATGAAAGAGCACAGACTCATGAGGCAATCCAGTATCAATTAAACAGACCGGACCTGAATAGACACTTACAGGATTATACCGTTAATTGCAGGTCTCTCAGCATCTAATGAATTATGTTACATTGGGACAGAGTCCCACTTAGACCAACAAAGTCCTACAATCTCCCAGCTCACCCCCAGCCATCTTGCATAGGATCGTGTCCTTTGTTCAGGGTCAATTTCATAGCCCAGAATGCAAAGCTAAAGGAATTACTGAACAGGTACCCAGCCTTTGCTTTTTGGTAGCTGCAAGGTAGTCAAAAAATACCTTCTTCCCAAAGGTATCTTTAGCAGGTGTTCTGCTCCCCAACAAGACTTCAGCGATGGCTTTGACTCCTTTCTGTTGTGTGGGCAGGAGCAGAAGGAACAACCTGTTGTATCATTTCAAGCTTGAGGCTTGGCCTGGTGACCAAGAAGGATCATTCCTCAGAACTTAAGACTGTCACACCCTAGACTAAATTTCTATGAATCCAGCCTGCAGATACCACCAAGGACTGGCTTTTTCTGAGCCACATGAATTCTGCAGACTTTATTTTTTCCCACTTTCCCAGGGGTGGGGTGGTGGGGGTGGTGTGACATTAATTTGCATCCACACAAACTGCATTCATGTTAATACACACTTGCACAACTGCAAAATAGCACAAGTACCAGGTGTCTTTCTTCCTACCTTCTTCCAGTCATTGACAGAATCACTCCCACCTGTCCCGCTGCCACTTTAGCCAGAATTTCATTCTATTTAGTGCTAATGTGAATTAACACAAGTAGAATGAAATTCTGGTAAAAGGAATCAGCTTCTCTCAAGCAGTAGATGACACCCAAGAAGCAACACAAAACAAATGGCATGAATTTAGCAGCCGTACCTTAGTATTGGAGCTGTTTCAACCTCCACATGTTCCTGCCCCAAACTCTGAAGAACTGCTGCGTGTTAGTGGAGAAATTTGCACCAATGGCTGGTCTACACTAAGCAATTTATGTGGGGATTGTTTAGGCTAGTCCATGCAAGGATAATAAACAGCCAACTCCCACAGTCAGGCCGTTTTTCAAAACTCATCTTAGGAAAAAATAAATACTCCCATCTTCAGGAACTTGATCTGAAAGGGAATTTTTGCTTAAAAATGAAACCACCTTGACATACCTCGTGGATGATTTGCCATGTATACTTGCCTGCTAGAAGTAACCCCTGGGACTCTGCACTGAGAAAAAAGCAGGATTCTGCAACCGAAACGGTGCAGCAGCAACGCAATGGTGCTGCTGAGTGTGCAGCTTCTGGCACGAGTGCTCATGGATTTCGAAAGCAACCAAATAATGTAACAATGCACTCAAGTGAACACAGAGCGGTGATGCTCATTACTGAATGACCCAGATTGGAGGTCACAGTTGGACCATAAATCAGTGCTGCAAAATGACCCTGGGACTCACATACTCCCTCTTTCGGCTCAGCTGCCAGGAGAGTAAAAGCTTCTGCTTCCTAGTTCTAAGAAACCAGTGTATTGTTATGCCTGCTTTGGAAATTTCAGCTAGTTTGCTGAAACAATCCAGAATGTGAAACAAATGATTTAATCCTGGCTTGTTCCTATAAATTAGGGGTGCAAAACCACCTAAATCCAGTCTGGAGTCCTAATCTGCCCCAAGGGGCCCCACCAGATGGGTCCAACCCCCTTTTCCCAACAGTCTATTATTTGCAGATTTTTAGTCTTTTGCAGTTTTCCCTGTTCTAAAAGGTCGAAATGCATCTCCTTTCTGGCAGATAGGACTTTTATGCTAAAATATGCTGGCACTTTCGCTATTTTGTGCTCTGCCTTCTTGAACCTACCACTGAAATGCAGCAAGAACACGAAAGGATATTTTATATGATGCAAAACGATGATTTAACATTGTATCTGAACTGGGCCATAGCTTCAGCCCAGAAGCAATGAACATAGATGAAGCCTCCTAAAGGAGATTCCGAACAGCAAGCTCCTCTGTTTCTGGTCAGCTACATCCAATTTAGTCCCATTAGCAAGAAGTCCCCCTGGCCTAGTAAAAGACTGAATTGGTATCGTTGGAGAAGCACTTCATTGCAGGGTCCTGCGCTATATAGCCAATTTCATGATAGAACACTGGAATGGAGTAAGATAATACTGTTAATTTATATTATTTTATCAAAGTTATTTATGTTTGTGAGCCACCCTGAGGCTTTGGCGAATGGGGCAGCATAGAAATTTTCTAAATAAATAAATAAATAATCCATACACACATACCTAGGGTCAAGCTTAAAATTTGCTTCCACGTGGCTTGTACACACCTTCAGTTCTGTCACACACATAAAATATTCTACAGGGTTCACCAGCAGATACGGAATGAGATCAAACCAGCTCAGCAAGTGCTATTTTCACACTAGCACACAATTTATTAGCAAGAACATTTTATATGTTTGGTGCACTCTAGAGACATAACTAATTAAATCTTCGTATTACCCACTGGGGAAGAAGTTGGCAACAGCCATCCCTTTTCCACAGATGGGGAAATTGGGCCAACAGGAAGCTCCAGACCTTGTGGGGAGTCGGGCAAACCCAGACTTTGCAATCGGGCTCTCCAGTGCTGGGTGGCAATTAGCTTGCTCAGGGTGCTGGTTCTCCTTGTTCGGATCTTGAGAAAGCGTGTGGTACGGCAACATGTTGTGGCACTGGCAAAATTGTCTGGGTTCTGGCTGAGCTCTGATCGCCATTCCTCAACAGTCCCACTTCCTAGTGTTTCTGTTCGGCTTCTGTTTGGGGTGATGGGGATTGCGAGGCTCACACAAAGGCCGTGCACAACATGAGTCGCACAGGGTTGGTGTCAACGGCTGTCTTGTGAACAGGCAACAAAGGGAATGTTACATTATAACACAGCAAGCAAACTCAACTGTTAGAAATATCTAGGGTCACACTTTCATTTGTGAAGCACAAGGACAAACCAAACCAAATGCAACCTCAAATATGCCTGTAGTTATAAAAACTCCTCACTTGAAAGCAACCCTGTGAGAAAAGGCATTAGTATATCCTCCCAAAATTAAGTATCAAAAGGGTGTGAGGACGCTGCATGATGCATTCTTAGCCCACCCTTCTCCAGGAGCTCTGGATACCTTACCCGCATTATCTTATCCCACCAGCCTGTCAGGACAGTGGCTGGATCAGGCTTCGTGGCCAGGTTGTGGTTTGAACCAATG